CTGTGTCCAGTTCTGGGCCCCTCAGCTCAGGAAGGATATTGAGGTGCTGGAGCAGGTCCAGAGAAGAGCAACGAGGCTGGTGAAGGGACTCAAGCACAAGTCCTATGAGGAGAGGCTGAGGGAGCTGGGGCTGTTCAGCCTGGAGAAGAGGAGGCTCAGGGGAGACCTCATCACTCTCTGCAACTACCTGAAAGGAGGTTGTAGCCAAGTGGGGGTTGGTCTCTTTTCCCGGGCAACTATCAGCAAGGCAAGAGGGCATGGTCTTAAGCTCTGCCAGGGGAGGTCTAGGTTAGATATTAGGAAGCAATTCTTTACAGACAGGGTAATCAGGCATTGGAATGGGCTGCCCAGGGAACTGGTGGATTCTCCGTCTCTGGAGGTTTTTAAGATGAGTGGATGCGGCACTCAGTGCCATGGTCTGGTAACCACGGTGGTAGTGGATCAAGGGTTGGACTTGATGATCTTGGAGGTCCCTTCCAACCCAGCTGGTTCTATGATTCTATGATTCTTGTAGGAGAATGGAATTAGGTCATAGAGCCCTTTTTTTGTATGCTGGGAGACAACTGAGACTGTGAGACCCTGATGTTATAGGCATGTGCTCACATACCTGGTGTCACCTGGGTGAACATTCTCATTGACTTCAAAGGCTGAATCTAAGTCAAGTCGAGCATGTGCTTCAGTGCCTCCAAGACTGGATGTCCTACCTGTAAATCTAGAAGAATTAATCATGATATCTATACAGCTGATGAGATGAACTTCAAAGAAACTTGAGCTTCCCCCACTCCTCCCAGCACTGACTACATGTGTTTAACTGGTTAGCTCCCTTCGGTTTGATCCCTCCGTGAACTCAGGTCAGTAATGTGATTAATTAATATTACTTAGAAGGGTTTGAGACTTATTAATGTTGCTTAGAAGGGTGGAATATGCTGTGTGTTATGTGCTAGTGATACTGGACACAGATGTATTCTGAACAGATTCATGACAAACCATTGCCTGTTATTCAAACAGATAAACTGGTAACGTGTCTTTGTGTTTCTGCCTGTCCATCTAACCATTCTGATGTTCTCTACAGAGTTTCTGCATGCTTCCCAAATGTTTTAAAATATGAGATTTTAACGCACTCTCTTGACAGTGGTCAGGATGTTCCCACTCCTCAAGGCATTTAAATAAAGGTGGTGGTTATTTTTTAATTCACATCTCCTTAATCACTTTGAATATGTGATTTTCTGTAAATGCCATACATATTTTAATATGCATTTACAGTGTGATTCAACATTGAGTCTTCACAAGGAATTATATATTTGTACCAGCTGTGGTAAAGCCCTGATAAGGCAATTGAGAATGGTATTGGGCTGTTACAGTAATTTATCCTGGGTATTTGTAGTGCTGGAGTATCCTGGTTATCTGGACACATGGCTTTTACTCTAGACTGATGCAAAATTAATTACAGTTCCTGATGTTGTATGTCCAGCTGTTTTCCCTTGAGAAAAAGAAAATCCCACTGGGGTAAAAACTTTAAAAGAACACTGAAAGATCAGGGAATTGGTACTTTTGTTTGCAAGAATCTGAATAACTTTACAAGTAGAACAAGAATCAAAATTTTTAATGGTCTAATTGCTAAAACCAGTAACTCTGAGAGGAAATCATTAGACATGACCTTCTTGTAAACAGGAATTAATAAAATGCAATCTTAGGCTATAACACATTTTAATTAACATGATGCCTGTTTCTGAGAGATGCTAGTTTCTATAAATATTATCTGCATATACAGTACAGTAATGCTGAGGAAATTGGTATAATCTGGAATTTCAGTCGTGTTTCTCCTGGGCAATTTTTTAAAACTTTTTGATTTTTCCTTCCCAACAGAATCCAGTCTCCACACTGACTCCTGCTTATTAGATTCTATTTTAGCCAAACTGGTTACTATGCCTGGCTAACGAGGAAAAATGGTGTTAAATTTCCAAGTTGGCTCATTTAATAAAAGGAACGTAGCAATAATGTCTATCCTTTTCTGTCCATGAGTCTGCCATGAACCCCTGACAGCTTTATCTTTTGTTTGTACATTGACATTGACCCATATAAATATAAACTGTTCCCTCTCCCGTGTCCCAAGATGCAGTAGAAGCCATGTATGAGCAAAGTAAGAGCCGTTCTAGAAATAGCCACCATTGAGAGGTGTGGGAGAGATGGGCTATTGGGCAGAAAGGTGAGAGATATTAAAAGCCAAGGTTTTGCCTTTCCTGATTTCTCATTTATTGTGCACAGCAAGATACAGGAAAAAGTGTTTGGGCGACAGTTACTTAACATGGAAAGAAGGGCTACTTAATCCTAGAATCTTTATTGTGCCTAATCTTTCTCTTTTCATGCTAAACCCTGGTCTTATGAAGTCCTGGATTTCCTCTAGAATTAGTGGAACTATTCTTTACTATCATTAATGTTAAATGAGTTTTTATTATTAGTGATAATGGAACTATCATAGAGTACAGAGGAAAAAAAATTATAGTTTAAGAAAATTAACATTTGAAAATCTCATTTTTTTAATAGACATTTAACGATCTTCCAAGGAGAAAGAAACATGACCATGCAAGCAAGGAACAAGAGATGACTTCAGTTCTTCACTGTGAGGGTGGTAAGGCACAGGAACAGGTTGCCCAGGGAAGTTGTGGATGCCCCATTCCTGGGAGGTGTTAAAGGCCAGACTGGACTGGGCTCTGAGCAACCTAGTCTAGGGAAAGGTGTCCCTGCCCATGATGGGAGGGTTGGAACCAAATGGTCTTTAAGTTCCCTTCCAGCCCAAACCACGCTATGATTCTATGAATAAGATGCCAAGGTGGCAGAGATGGGCCAAAAGAGCTCAGCTATCCTGGTGTTCCAGCACTCTCCTCTTGATGTTAGTGACAGTGATAGAAGTGCTTGAACTCACAGGACAAAGAGAAGAGATTTGGACCAAGTCAGTAAGACAACTATAACTTTTTAGAAATGAAGAAAAGCTGTTTCCAAAGGAAGCACTGTTGCTGCTTAATATTGTTTATTTATTCTCCTAGAAATTCTTTGAGATGTGATATGGGATTTCCCCATATGGGAAAAATAAGGCTGAAATGGGACGAAATAAGAGAAGAGACAAAGTTCCTCAACTTTTCCTTTGTCTCTGCATATTAGAGTGGATTCAGTGGGAAGGAAGCACACTTAGTCTTTCAACTGTACAGGACATTAACAGGGGGCTTTCCTAGCTGGTGAAGTAATACACCCTTCAAATGCACATGTTGATGAGCTTTAGTGGCTTTTTTGAACCAGTAATCTACACTACTTCATTCTTTGTAAATGGTATAATGTTTTGCATTTAGAGAGTGCATTTCAGCCAGAGCTTTACAAATACTCATTAAGCCCCGAAACACTGCTCTGGAATAGATGAATAAATTATATGGGGAAAGTAATCATTAGAAACCTTGTTGTTTTGTTGAATGGTGTACAGTTTTCATGTAACCAAGGACTTAAGTGCAGCAAGTCCTTGACACCTATTTTCACTTTCCTATATGAATATTCATTTGGCTTAGGTTAACATTACATCCCCACATCTTATCAGAACTAAAATTCATCGTCCTCTAATGGAAACTGTGCTGTTTCACTGCTACAGACAATGGTTGGCATCAAATGAAATTGTTCTTTGTTCCAAAACTATGGTTAGAATTCAGTGGTTAATCAGATGCTGATAGCAAACACTCTTGGTTTCCTTTACATCCATGTGACTATACAAAAGACAATTGATGTGGTTAGTGTAAGATTCACTCTCAACGTTCCAGGAGCATTGGGTTTTGTTAATATACCAATCTATAGCTTGACATTATATGTTGCCTTACTTTGAGCTGTGTTTATTTTCCCTAGGGCAAAACAGCTGTGCACTGAACTCTATTATAGACATAGCTTAAATGCATATATCTTACATATATCTATGGATCTTACACTTGAATAGTGCTACATTTTGCTCTTAAAATCCCTCTAGAATGTTAAAATTAAAAGAAAGGATATTTCCAGGGACATATGGTAGGTTATTAAATGGTTCCTTCTAAAAATCCAGCCTGAATCTGATCCACGTTGTTAATCTCCAGATGTTTCTTGTTACATTAGTATCAACTTAAATGAAACAAGTTTAGTCAGGGTGCTCACAGTAAGAAAAAAATAACCGTAATGGTATCATTTTTGCTAATTTTCTCAGTGAAGATAATATTTGAATGGCTGGAGTTGTATGTGCACTTGATCCTGCCATCAGGTTTTACTACATCAGAGCTTAGATGTTCACAGATCTGAAGGTAAAACCTGCAGTATCCTAATTTATTTTGTAACTGCTTTACGAACTGTCTGTACAATACCTACTTATCTTCATCTTGATTCACAAGCCACAAAATAATCTTAGAAAAGTTAATATTCTCAAAACTGTTAAAACTGAAAATTGCAAAGCTAATTTCCCACGTACCAAAATAATTATTTTCCCGAGTTTATATGACAAAATAAATCATCAATACCACCAGCTGTTTTTTCAGCACTCGAGATGGACGTAATTCCAACAAAAAGTGGAACTTGGATTTTATCTGATTTTCCTTAGCAGCAACAACCCCAAAGGGAGGGTTAAGTGGAATAATGACCTTTGGTTCAGGCATTTCTTGTGAAATCCACCAAAAAGTGAGAGAATGGCCTGAAGTGCAAATGCTGCCTTGCTATTGATCTCTGGAAATGCCTCAGGCCACTACTGCTACTACCAGACCAAAGCTGCACCCTCCACTTGGGAATTAGCACATTCCCTACAGATTTGCATATAGTGGAAGTAGTTGTGATAGTTTCTCAAAAAAGTCTTTGTTTTCCCAGTGCCTTTGCCAAACCTGAGCCAGAAATGTGTCATCTAAGGAGTCGTTTATGTATTTAAAAAATGAGCACTGCTTTTACTCTGTTGCCATGGGACAGCTATAGCAGGAAATGAGCAAAACACCCACATAATTATTGTTGACAGAATACAGTTTCAATTTTATCAAGTGTAGCCCCTGTGTGATATGTTGTTAAGGCAGCCTTCAACATCTTGGTGAGTGAAATGCTGATTTGAGAAGTACACAGTGCCCAAAAGAAACGTACAATTGTTATGCTTGGAAAACAGAGCATGTTAAAGACATCTCCTTCACTGAGAGATGGCATGTGAGTAATTATTGCTAAGTCTCTGAGGAACAATTAGAGTTGTTTTTTATTAAATTTTCATGTTTTGATTGACATTGAAACGGAATGAATCAATATGTAAATCCAGATTACAGTGGTCTAATAAGATATTGAGAAAGATTATACTTTACAAAACAGTCTGTGGAAAAACTATACAGTGCTGAGAAAAGAACCCCATACATTTATCATTTTGCCAACTGCCTTGCTATTGTTCTTGTTTTTGAATTTAATCTGCTTAGCTACTATTTAAATTAGATTTCAGAAGACTCTGTAATTAAGGAGTGGGATATAATTCATCATTTGTGGAGATCACATTTATTATGTATCTAAATAATAAAAGTTATTTATAACAGTGTTTTATAACAACCTTAGAGAGTTTTAACCATTAATCAATAACAATGGAGAGATGTCAATGTATAAAATTGAATCAGGCATAATAATAATTATTGCATGGCTACTTACTTCACTGATTAGAAGGAAATCTATTTCAGGTGGGTTTTATTGAGAACATTAACAAATTTGTATGCATTTAAGAGATATATGGAATAGTTCTACTCCCTCAAGGAAGGAAGTGTCAAATAAGAAAAAATAATTTTTGGAAGGTAATACTGCAGTAAACAAAGTTCGTTTCTTTTAATTTATATAAAATAATTTTCTGGGGTATGAACTGAGTCTGTATTGTTTATCTATTTTGACATGCATATTTCAAAAAGCAGGAATGAAAATGTGTGACACGGGTATAAGTGCTATAATTTACTGAACAATGTTTTGCACCCTGCTGACCTTTTTAGTGCTAAAGTAAGCTGAGGCCCTGAGTCTATATTGGTCTTTTCTGTGGAAGTCCACCTACACAGGCTCTAGAGGAATGGTTAAAAAACCCCCATATTTTCTATAATACCTTGACTCAGTCCACTCAGATTCAAGAGCTCTTCTCAAGAACTTGCAGAAGGTTCTTTTCATATCTGTATTTTAAAAGTTCCTCATGCTATTCTGCATTATTAGAAGTTGCTCTCCAGCTCTGTGTAGCAGTGAGATGTGTCACAAGTACCAACACTTGGCCTTACTGCTGCAGGGTCTGAAGTGATCTCTGTAGACAGCACAGCACCATGCTGGGGAAAATGTCCAACCCTTGCTAACTTCCCAAACTGCTCCCAGTTGGATCCCTGGCGATCTGCACCCACAGAGCTGCCTCAGGTGGGAGCTGCATTACAGGGGCTGGCTGTGTGTGTGTCCAGCACAGCAGGGAGGCTCCTCAGAATTCTCCTCCCCAGGGCTGGCTCCCATGCTCGGTGCCAAGGCCCTGTGAATCCACCCCCATGCTCAGGATTTGGGGATTGGGGCAGTCAGTCAATGATGCCTCAGCCCTGGATGAAGCCTTTGGCAATGCTGCCCTGAAGACCCATTTGTAACTCAAAAGTGTGAGCCTCACATCTGCATCCCATCCATCTTTTTGAGGAGTAAGAATAAATACTATGCAGTCCCCTTACATGTGAGATTGAACTGAGAGACAGTGGTCATGCTGATGGTTCATTGCAGCCAGGGGAGATTACTGAGGAAACAAGACAATAAAAAAGGAACAATGGAAATTAATTTCACAGCCCACAAGGGTCCTAAGGCTGATCCTGTATCAGCAAATAAGGCAGAACAGGGATAGTGACAATTTTGCCTGTCCTGGATTTGCAATTTACAGATTTATTTTTTCTTCTCTTCTGGAAAGAGACAAGCTTTTCTTTCTAGTTTTGTTGTATGTTATTATTTTTTTATTTTTCCTCCTTCAACCAAGCAAAATAAAGTTTTATTTGTATCTCACTCTCTTTTGGGCTAGGGGGAAGATGTAATTAGGTGAAGGAACACAAGAGGATATTTTTGGAGCCATGCAATATTTGGGGATGGAGGAAAAGATGAGCGATATCGCTCATATTTTTTTGTTTGTTTTTCATTTTTTGTTTAAAGTGTGCTTTCCTGTACTATAGCTACTGGTTATGCCATGCTCACATACAGATGGTTTATTGCATTGCCTTTGCAAACTGACTGATTGCTGTTGCAAATCATTGAAGCCAGGAGTGGAAGGGATACAGGTATGTAGCAGGAGACTGTAAAACCACGGAATGACCTGAGCCCGGCATAGGACGAGGCAAGAAGAGATGTGGGGGATTGTCAAGAAGGCGCACTTTCTAGGATTGTACAAGAAAGTAGGAAGAAACCGGAAGGAAGTCGGATACTGAAAAGCTGTGATGAGGTATGTACACTTCATGTTACCAGAAAAATCAAGGAGGATGGTTAACTCTCAGTTATCTCCTTCTGGAGCCAAGCAGATTCTCCTGCAAAGGTGTTTGAAAGAGGAACTGGGAGACCACAGCCAGAAGAGATTGTTCTGCCTGGCAAAAGCTTATTTAGGAAGAGGGCTGACACCTTGGTGAGTTAGAAGCATGCTGAGAAAGTAACATCTCTGGAAAGATAGGGCAGAAGATGCTAAAATTGAATCTTGTCTGGAGTCTTGTTTGGGGATTGCTATTAGTATGCCTAGACATGTGTTAAGTGACCTACCGAGCAGCAGCAAGCTATTTATGGGTTTATTAAGAAAAATGAAGTAAAAATCTGCTTCATCAAAGGCTTTGACACATTCAAATTTGAAAACATTCTGTTGAACGTGTTAGTTTGTATTACTATTAAGGGGAATCAGGGGTGAAGTTTTGGGTCTTGCAGAGCAAATGAAGAACAAACTTCAGGAGAAGACTGGATAGTGAATTCAGGGGTCTTTAATTTCTTTAGAAAAAATGTCTTAGTGAATATGGTTGGGAATATGTGACATTCTGCTTGCCTTGAATGTGGTATGTAAAATATTCCAAAAAAAGGGGGCAAATATGGTAATGGCAGTTGCCAGAGGGGCTGGAAAAAAGGGGTAATAACAGTCATGGACTCAAAGCTGGGGGAAAAAAAGCTTTGATGGGAATAAAGAAGTGAGGTATCTCACGCTGGAGAAGGAAATAAAAAACAAAATTTGTGAGGAAACATTAGAGAATTGAACAGTTTGATTTAAAATTTTGAAGTTTTTAGTCTCAGAGGTCAGTAATGTCTGTCTTTCCATTCGTCCTGTTCCTTAAAAAAGGATCTTCTTCATACTCAGGTGTCCATAGCCATGGGATGACAGTGAGCCTGTTTGTGTTCATAAATATGGAAATGACTTCAAGTCTCTGCTTTAAAACAAACCAAATGTTGACAGCTGCAGGTATATCAATATTGAAGAACTGAGGGCTTCTCCGTGCTGCCAGGCTTACAGCGTCCTTTGACAAAAAAATAAGAAAAAGACCCACAAATTTTCATTTCTGGAAATGATCTTGTAAGTGACTTTGGCACATAATTGTTTTTCTGTATTTCTCCCTTCTACAAGTAACTTGAACACTGTGCACCAATTTGACTATTGCCACCTCTGTTTAGAATGATAAGACGTGCCATGACAAAATTATGACTATTTATTTAATTCTTAATTAAATATTAATTAATTAATACATCTTAGTCTGAGTATCCTAGGTGCTGGGTATGTAAATTATTGAGACTTTGTGAAATGCAAAAGAGAGAAAATGAAGAGAAGAAGCGATAGGACTGTGTTAAATATAGTAATCATAAAAGCTTGTGTGACAGGAAATTGTAAATTGACTTAGTAATTAGGAAATGCATTCATTCATTTTTGCTTTTGCATGCATTTTTGTGTATTTCAGGGGACATGCTTAACTCGATTCTATGACTATAATTCTTTAGGACAATTGGATATTCTGGTGAGAGAGGTAATTAGATATATTCAGATATATGCATCTAAAAGACGAAACAGTAGGATATCTTTAAACAGGAAGGAAATTTGTAAGGAAAATAGAATTATTTTGAAGATATCTTCTCAATTGCAGAAAGGGTACTTGCAGTGTGAACATACTTTTAAAAACTGACAGTGGTTTGGAAAAGAAAACCTTTTAAGTAAAGAGAATTACCATTTTTTTTTACCCCTAGGAGAGTTCAGCATGGTTTGGAAGGAGAAGTTTGGATTTGTTATGCAGCACGAGTGTTGCCTTCTCAATGTCATTTTCCCATCTGTCTTGCTCAGCAGTGTCACTGTCTCGGCTGATGCCTGTGTGCAGTCATCAGTCAGATCACAGTGACACAGTGAGCCTGAAAACTATTCTTGTACAATGTCATGCTCCATATCTTCCTCAAAGGAACTGTGGATACAATTTGAACTTGTTTATATTCTTTCCAGTGGCCAGGAAAATGAATAATTCCTTTTTCCGTATTTGGAAATCCCTCAACAATGGATTTACCATTATTTAATCTTTCTTATTTATCTTCTGGTGCTCATAGAACTCTACTGCCTGACTCTAGTCCCATGGAAATTTAGGGAAACTTCTCAATCTATTGCAAGGGAAACAGGCTCTGAAGGTCTTATTTTGTCTAACATTTGCCATCACCTTCCCCAAAGCATAAATTGTCCTGTGCACAAAAAGCAAAAGATGTTTCATTTAATGTCGTACTTACAAAAAAAACCAAACCACAATCTATTGGTGACAGTACCTTTTCAATTCTGTTCAAGATTTATTTGGTGTTGTATTAATATGTATTAATTCTGTCCTGGAAAGTACTTAGGCTGGAACTGAGTGATGTCTTGCAGATGGTGTGCCTAACTTTTGTACCTATCTTGTGACTCTTGCCGCCTTACATTGTGTCAAGCTCTCCTGGCTTCTGTGGATTATGAGTTTTGACTGAAAACATTCCAGGTCTGGAATGAGCATGTGCTCTATATTTAGTCATGTCATTAGGAGTACCATTGTGCAAGTTGCTTATCTTTCTTAACTACATCAGGGATTGTCCTTCCTTTCCTTGTAAATAACAGAAATCTTTAAATTCAAATGGTTGCCATGAATTCTTCCTGTGAACTAGTCAGCCGCTCAGTAATGGTGTTCTTTAGTACATATCATGCAATGACAATTTTAGACATCCACCTATTTCTAAAATTCTTAACATTTTGAATCAGCTTTTGTCTTCATAGAAATCCAGGCTAAAAGGGATCTTGTGAGGTCATCTCTTCATAGTTCCTGATCTAAACCAAAATAAGTATACTGAGAATCTCCCTGCCAGAAGCTTTGTCTGGGCCAGCCTTCAGAAGCTGGTGATGAAGGAAATGCCATGACATCCCTAGCGGTTTTGCTCCTCATTTTATTTGGGAATATTTCTATTTATTTCTATCTTCAAATTTATCTTGCATAAATCAAGCTGATTTCTACTTGCCCTGACATGGATGAAGATGGAAAAAAAATTGACTGGTATGTATTAAATCCCATCAACTGCATTTTAATTTTGAAATAATACAATAATGATCTTTTTGTTATCTTGCTTGCTTTCCTTATCCAGTAAGGTAATATTTGGTCTTTCTTTGACTTGAATATTTTTATTTTGTCCTCTTCTTGTTGTAAACAACTTTTGGACTTGAGACTCGAAAATAAAGCAAATCTTTCTGTATGTTTGATCCTCTCTTTATAGTGCTCTTTTATCCTACAGCATGACACAGGTATTAGCTGTGCATGGCCATTTTTTCTCTTCCGAATTACTGGGGAGTTCTGTTATATACTAATATTTTTATTCTTTACTGAATTACCGACATAAATAAATAAATAAATAATAATAATATTATTATTTATTATTATTCTTTACTGAATTACCGACATTAAGTAACCCATTACATATATTCCCTTTTTCTCTCTAATTCCTCTTGAAGGCAAGCTATCTGGAAGTGTGTGAAGTCTACCATTTTTTGTGGGTTCAAATTTGCAGCAATTGGGGACCTCAGCAAATCTCCTTGAGTTAGCCAGGGACAAAGGAATCTGTTCCTCTTCTTGTGCTATTTTTGGAATCATTAGTACTGTTCTCCTGAAATGGCTTTTTCCCATGCTGTTTGGGAATCCAACAGTTCAAAGTTGTTTCCCCCAGTTTGAACAAATATTCCATAGTGATTCCTTGGTGAAGTTTTTCCATCCTCTGAAAAAGGATTGTAGTTTTGGAGTAATGGCACTGAAAATTTTCCAGGAATGTGGATTTGCCTAATGCTTCTAAGACCTCTTTCATATTTTGTATTTCCCTGTTGTCTGATTAACATGTTCTTCTACCTATAAGAATCAGAGTATTGATTTCTGGTCTCTTAAGCACTTGCCACTGCTGGATGAGAATTGCACTGCACAATTTTGAAGAACAATTTGGTTGCATAACCTATATTTCAGTATAATCAGAAAATGAATTGCTCTGAAATTGTCTTGCAAATTAATCTGTCTTACCATGAAACCTTTTGTGGTTTTAATTCTCAGCTGTTCTGAGCAGAGCTGCAAAATCATGCTAAAAGGCATATTACATGTTTTGCATTATGGCTTATGAACTTTCTTAACCAAGATTTAATAATTGAAATTCAGTGCTCCTCAAATGCTCTGCCTCTGGTCTGGCCTTGCACCTTTTATAGATTGTGCTTGCCCTTTATAAAATGTACAGGCCATGATGAAAAAGTCATAACTAGCAGGCTTTTCTATGCATTGTACCTCATTTAAGTTTCCTGAAACAGCAGCAGCCTCTAAGTCATCAAATTCGATTGTATTCAATTCTCAGGAAAATAGGAAATAGATCATTAGAGTACAAAGCAGCCTGAAGTCCAGATGTCATTCTGTAACCTCCTAGGCACTGGATCTAATTGTGACTGATGGAAATTATACTCTTTATTATTATTCTTATTATTCTTATTCTTCTTCTTATTATTATATAGTGTTTCCAGCATTATTTGCAGATTCCTACTCCATGTTTTGTTGAAAAGTTATAGCATATGAAGGGTTGAAAAAGTGCAAAGAAACATGCAGACCTAAGTTGTGCAAGGGGTGACGATGTGTGTAATAGAAGTGGAAAAAAAGAGAAAATGATAAGATTTGGATGTTGCCATTGACAGGGTGAAGCTGGGTTGTAAGGGCAAGGGCTGAAAAGAAAGGAAAGGATGTAGAAAGGATGTTCATATTCAGTGATTTTACTCTGGAAATAGCAAAGGCATGTAGTGACAGGAAAAAGGGTAACAATTTTAAACTGAAAGAGGGCAGGTTTAGATTAGAAAGAAATTCTTCACTGTGAAGATGGTGAAGCACTGGAATGGGTTGCCCAGAGAAACAGTGGATGCCCCATCCCTGGAAGTGTTAAAGGCCAGGTTGGATGGAGTTCTGAGCAACCTGGTTTAGTGAAAGGTGGCCCTGCCCACGATGGGAAGGTTGGAACTAGATGATCTTTAAGGTCCCTTCCAACCCAAACCAGTCTGTGATTCTATGTTTCTGTGAAAGTGTATATACAGATTTTGACATACTTTAAAATATATACCACTGCTCTCCCAAGGCAGAAAAAAAATTAATGAATTCATCCAAAGTGTTCCCAGGGGATGCAGACAGAGCAAGAAACATCAGTAACAGATTTCTATAAAGCTGCCATATGTGGATTCAAACTTGCAGTATTCAGGGACCACGTCTCCTTGAATTACCCAGTTATCAACAAAGGGAGCCTCAAGTCTCACAGCTTTTATTAGACCCTTAATGTTGTTGAAGAACATATTTCACAACCTTTAGCTGAGTTCTTGATATTGTGGCCTTAAATTCCTAATTTTACCTCAAATGGTTTCTTCCACACAGTGCCTCTAGAGAGCAACGAATGATATGTAATAGAAAAGTGGCCGAGATCAGCCAGGGAGGACTGGAACCAGAGCCTGGAAAAACAAAAAAAAGAAAGGAAAAATCAGAAGAATCTGGTAATCTTATTAATGAATGATGCCTGGAAGCATTCTTCCTCCAGGGATCTAAATCATAGACCTACCCCCTGATAGGCCCAAAACAAGTCAGCTTGTGAACTTGTATGAATCTAGATTAAGTTTTCATCTTGATCTTATTTTTAGAATAGAGCTCTGCAAGTTACTATAATAAAACATGCTTTTTCAATAATGTATTTGCCTGCAATTAACAGATGTATGTGATAATATGCTAATACCACAGGCAACATGATGCATCAACTCAATATCTGGTCATATGACAAGGGTGACAAATCGAAAAAGGGAATTTCTAACTTGATATAATGAAAGTATGTTCACCGCAAGAACATAGGAACAAGTTGCTAAGAGAGGCTGTGGAATTTCTGTCCTTGGAGCATTTTCACACCCTTACCTGGACAAAGGCCTGAGCCACCTGGTCTAAATTCAATGCTGACTCTGCAGGAGGCTGCACTAGATGACCACTATCTCTTTCATTTCAAGAACTGAGGGGAATCAATGAAAAAGGATCTGGGTTCAAATCAAACAGAAGAAGGTGATTCTTCATACACAGATCAGGTAAGCTGAACATTAGGAACACTTTGTTACTGGCTGGCTGGAAGTTATGTGGGCTGTAGTCTGGACAGGTTCACAGAAAAGACTTACCAGGAGTTACATATGTAAATAACATCTTGCTCAAGAGCTTTCTGAGCTCACAGCTTCTGAAGCTAGCCTGCAATGTGTCTCACAATAACAACCATTCCTGGTTGTTAGAAGATGACACTAGTATAGTGTCCTCTTCTCCAACAGTGGCCAAAAAGGGAGGTCTACACAAGGTCATCCTGATGCACCATACCGGCATGATGTCTGAAACTGGTGTGAAATTGAGCAAAGTCCTCTTTCTTCTCAATGATGTTGTTTTTCCTGCCTCCTACTTTCTTCTGATTATTTATTTTGGTTATCTGGAAGAAAAAGGAAATATTATTGTACTGCAGCACTCTCCGCACTGCATGCACGGGTTCTTCCTTTCCTCCACAGCCATGTCCTCAGGTGGTCTGCTCTGTTTTATTTTACTAACCTGTCCCCCAGTCAGGCACATCCACCCTTTCCTACCTCTCTTTGCAGCCTGTCTTTTCCCTGCTTAACATCCTCCTTCTACCCCAAGATAGCTAACATCCCACTTCCTGGCTTTTTGATCCTTCTCTCTCCCCAGTATCAGACCAGCAAGAATCCCCCAGAACCATGCTTGGCTCCAGTACTGCTACCCTCAATGAAAGAAGCAGGTGGAGATTTCCACACACTGAATCCCTTGGCTTTGTCAATCCCCCTCTCCTGCTGCAACTACCACTATGGCCAAGCCAAGGCACCAGCTAGGACTCCTCACCTGGCACCCATCCTGGCTCTGCCGGCTGGCACAGAGGACCAGAGTAAGAAGCCTAGGGGCTCTGCTGTGTGGCAGAGCATCCCTTGCCTGTCTCATCCACTCTGTCCCTAAACCACACTCTGGGTGACCCCAGCTTTGCCTGGAGCACTTAACTCCGTCCTTGGCTGTAGCATCCCCGTGCAGCAGCACCTATACGGATCGTGGTGTCACAGGTCTGAGCTGGGAGCCAGCAAAGCCTCACTGAAATGCACTGAGCGGGCTTTCTCATGTTACCACTCCCGCCTTTTCTAGGTCATTGATGAACACAGGGGCTGGCACAGGTCCCTCGCGATACCGGTGACAGCTCCGCTTTGTCGCCTGGCTCTTCCTGCCTCTCTGGGATGTGTTTTAACCTTGCTGCCACCGTCCCCTGTGTGCCCAAGGTTCAAAGTCCCTGCGGCCTGTCTGCCTCTCCTCACCTGCCACCGCTGCGAGCGCGTACCCCGGGGCACGGCGGCAGCCAGGTGCGCTCACACCTGCACATCCCACCCCCCTCTCCTGGGCGTTCCGGACGCGGCTCCCACACCGCAGCACGAGACTCTCCCCGAGCGAGGAGCGTCTCTGGGGATGTGCGCCCGCCCCCGGGGCCGCTCCTGACCCCGAGCACCCTCTCGCTGCCGGGCGGTGCCCGCGGGGGTGACCGCGGGGGGCCGCTGCGCCTCGCCGGCGGCGCCGGGGACGGGGCCACCGGCGCACGCGGGTCCGGGGGGCGGGCGCGGGGCAGCGGCGGACAAAGCCGGCCGGCGCCTCCGCACGGCTCCCGCTCTCGCTCCCGCCGCCGCGCCCGCGGCCTCCCGAGGGGCGGGAGGTGTCGCCCCCCGCCCGCACCGCGCCGGCGGCGGCCGCGGTGGCGCTGCCGAGCCGAGCCGGGCGCTGGGCGCCGAGCGCCGGCCGCCCGCCCGCCCGCACCCCCGCCCCGGCCGGCGGCGCGCACGGCGAACATGGCGGCGGCGGTGGGGCGGGACACTCTACCTGAGCACTGGTCCTACGGCGTCTGCAGGGACGGGCGCGTCTTCTTCATCGAGTAAGGGGGCGCCGCGCGAGGGGCGCGGGGAGGAGGGAGGGCGGCCCCGCTCCCGCCCGCCCGCCCGGGCGGCCGCACGCAGTCACTACTAACAGGTGCATGTTTTCCGCTTCTCCCTTCCCAGCGACCTGACCCGCACCACCACTTGGCTGCATCCTCGCACCGGGGAGCCCGTCAACTCCGGCCACATGATCCGCTCAGGTGGGTGCCCGGGGGCGGCGGGGCCCGCGAGCGGCGCCCCCTCCCTCCCTCCCTTCGGCCGGGAGGCACCGCGGGCGAAGTTCTCACCCCTCCTTTCCGCTCTCTCTCTCTTTTTCCCCGTCCCTTGCAGACCTGCCCCGCGGATGGGAGGAGGGGTTCTCGGAGGAGGGCGCCAGCTACTTCATCGAGTGAGTACCCGCTCGCAGCCCCGGGGGCGCTGGCGGCGCGGCCCCGGCCCGCCCGGGGGCTCGGCTGAGCCGCTCCCACCCCCGCACCGGCCCCGCACGTCCGCCGGGCTCGTTAACGATCAGCGGGCGAGCGGGACGTCGGAGTGCGCCGTGCCACGGGCAGAGCTGGCTGCCGGGAGCGGCGGGATGCGGGATCCCCCCGCAGCCGCGCTCTCGCGGTGCTCAGCAACAGGTTTGCTCGGAGCCGGCTCTTCACTTTTCCCTTCTTCTTTTCTTTCTTTTTTTTTTTTTTTTTTTTTTTTTTTTTTTTGTGGCGGTGTTTCCTCCCCCCTCCCCGGTATTTACAGAGCGGCGTGTGGCAGGTGGAGCGTTGCACTGCTGAGCGCCGGCCGTGGTGGAAAGTGTGGATGGTGGTTTTGTTGTTTTAAGTGGCTCGTGGCTGTGGACGCAGCCCCGGGAAGTTTTGCAAGTGAAAGGCTTCCTCCAGTGTTTCTTCCCAGAGACGGGTCTGAACAGATGAACTTGCTGTTCCAGGACTGGTGGTGGCCACCGGGTCTTTCTTGTAGCATTTCTCATTCAGAGAACAGTTAAAAGCAGAGATGTGCTGCTTATTGAGGTGCTTTTATTCTGTGGGATGGCAACGTGTTGGAGTAAAGTGGAATAATTAACAGAGCCGCTTTAAAACATTGCATATACAAGACATTTACAAATGTAAACACTGATGTAAAAGTAGAGATTTAGTCAAATCAGTACAACTCAAGGACATCCTGCATATAAAGATGTGTGTCACTTGTGATGCCACTGCATTTTTCCTTTGGAAATCTGAATGCTTGACAAATTTAATGGAACTAAGAGAGAAAGGCTCAGTGTTTTCCAGTCTATCTTATTGCTTCAGTGCAGGACTGGGATGGCCAGGCCAGGTCATTAAGTACAGCCCCCAATAACTGCAGACAGCTGTGTCATAGTTGCCTAGTTTTGAAATGCCTACAGAGCTTACCCCAAAACCTTTGACAAGCTTGAGCTTTTTAGTAAAGATAGATTTCCAAACTGTACTGTGCCAGGAATTGACTTGGAAGGAGAAATAGACTGAAGGCATCAGAAATGCCCCTCGTGATAGAATGTTTGTTAGATAAAGTTCCAGATGATCCTAATATGTCAATTTTTCACCTATAAAGGAGAAAAAAGGCATTCAGTCTCTGTTTTTCTGAGCCAGAGAATTCCTTACAGTGCTGGACTGGGCAGTTAGTTTAGCCCTCAACTAAAGGAGGTAGTAGCAAGGCATTGGAGAGCAGCTTAATACCACTTAGAGCTGCCACCCTTTATCTGTGGCTAGTGAGTTGAAAGAAAGGAATAAAAGTTCTTCTGGTCACATAGGTGGCTGACAAAACTCTAAAATAAGGTAGCTGTCCGGTCTGTAAGTGTAGTGTAAGCAGATGCTTTATCTGGGTACAGCAAGACAAACTTCTAGGTGTGGGAATACAGCTATTTGCTTTCCTGTTCTTTCCAGAAAGTTACTAGTACAGTTTAAGAACAGCTTAAATTCCTTTTCCCAGCTGCTCTATTTGGAAGAGTGCTTCTTCGTGTCTTGTGTATCAGGCAGTTAGAAAACTTTTAATTTCTGATGCATTAAATTAGAGCTGTGTGCAGTGCAATGTCATAACTTGTGCTAATAATATTTTTTTAGCTTGGGCTGGAATTGTTGCGGGAAATGAAATAGGGAATGGAGTATGTATTTTACAGGGCAGTTGGATAAACTTGACCATCTTTAGTCAAAGTTTTGTGAGGAGGCCAGCAATTTTTTGACATGAATCTGTTCAACTGTACTGCTTAAGACCAAAGATTCACCTGATACTGAATATGATATTCACCTCTTCAGCAGTGATACTTCCCCCAGCACTGCTCTAGCCTCTCTAATTTCAGCTCAGAGGCTTCCTGAGCCAAGTGAAATTTCTCATTTTTAATTCCCTGAACATATTGAGCTCTCCTTGTGCTCATATAAACATCAGCATCCTTAGAGGATGATTTCCATACCTCACAACTCTGTTCATTCCTCCTATGTTGCTTCCACGTGATGAGTTCTCAGCTTACAGAAAAGGTTACTGGTCCCTAAACGCATGATTTCACATGTTGTGGTATTGAATTCCATTTTCTGGCATTCCAGCTCACAAACCCCGTGAACTCTCCTGGATAACTACCCAGTCCTCTTTGTAATGGTGATAGTTCCAGTCTGGTGTCATCCATAGAAATTTCCTAAGTGCATTGTTACTCTTTGGCTACTAATTTATTGAAGGGTGTCAGGAGGAATATTCCAAGTAACCCCTCTCCCTTGTGATAGTTTCCAGTATTAATACAGCCCAGTATTGTAGTTTTCCAGTCTGGCCACTTACTTGAGGTATCTTACAAACCTGATTTCTGGTACAGCAATAATGAAAATATTAGGTAAAACATTGGATGTGAGCTGTCTGTGACATAGAAAAACTTAACTAATCCTGTGTCCGTTTACTTCCATGTCTATATTGCTTCTTTCTATACTGTGAACCAACTTGAAACATCATACAGTAAAACAAAGGTTTATTACCTGGTCAAGGTTAATATCAAAGCCAGATAAGCTTTTCTCCCCTTTCCACATAACCAGAGTTTGAAAATCTCCAGAACCCTCCTTCTGTTGGATAGAAGCTTTCCAAGCGAATGTGCTGTGATTTAGAATGGTTTTTTGCTGTTCTGTAGTTAGGCAGATGTCCTGTAGTCTAAGGAGTACTATTTTCCCTTTGGTTATTTACTCGAGATGCTCATCTGAAATCACATTCCCTCTTAGCCTTGTTTTGCTCAGCTAAGCAAGATGGGTTCTTTGTCCAGTCCTTTAAAAAGGGCTCTCTGTCTCTTTCATTATCCTGTAGTTTTCTCCGCACCTCTTGCAATATGAAGTCATCTTTGTTGCATTTCAGTGAGCGGAATCGTATGCTGGAGTGAGCTTTTGTGAGGCTCTCACACAACAAAAGTGCTTTTTTGGCTCTAAAAATTTCTCAGTTTTCTGCATTTTAGGTTGTTTGTGTATTTAGGGAAGACGCCCACACTGACAGCACATGTGAATGCTGCCAGTTGACTGATACGTGCAGATCTTTCTTTTCCTTTTCTGCTTTAACTTCTAAGACTGTAAGTTATATTAGGAAGCTACATTCCAGTTCTTCCCATTTGTGCACATCCATGTCTTCACGAATGATTTTGTCTGTTCCAATTATTCAAGTTTTCTTGGTAGTAGCAAACCCTGTTGGTGCAGTGCTGCCTCTTGTCCTAAAGTCACTAAATAAAAATTATGTATAAACTGATTTGTCTGGATCTCCATTTGGTAGTTTTGGTAAAACCTATTTGTCTGAAAGTATCATGGATGTTGTGTTTTCTGACTTGGAATGCTCAGTACATCTTTTCCATCTCTTTGTTTGTTTGTTTGTTGATGTTTTTGAGAAGTCTTGTGTTTGTTAGGCAGCTGCTTTATGGGAGAGTCCCTGCAGAAAGGTTGTTGCTGAGCATATGTGGAATTGAATGGAAGCTTGACAGCACTGGCTCTGGTTTGTTTCTGTGGTTGCTGGTTGCTAATGTGTTGTGGTTGGCAGACTGTCTTTAGGGAAGCAGATAGCGGCATGTAGGGCAAGTAGTGACTGATGGTAAACCAGTGCGTGTATGTGTGATAGTTCAGATTTTTGTTTCCATTTGCTTACCTTTTTCTGGTCATCCAAAAGACTTGGGGAAGTTGGAAAGCTTTGAAAGCGTGGAATGCTTTTTTATTACGTTTTTATAGCTTTCAAAGATTGATATGACTATTGATGTGAAAGGATCTGTTCTTCCAGTGTTAGATACCTAACTGGCTTGTATTTAAGTGTGTTAAAGAAGTGTAGTGCTGCTATAGTGTTGCACATCTCAAAGGTAATATTGCATTCAAATTGTAATGTAGAATCAGGAGCAGAAGAGTAGAAATCAGCACTTAAATATCTGAAGTCAGTTTTCGGTTCAACATGGCCTCTTCTTTGGATAACAGTACAAGAAATAAAACTGTGAAATTGTCATGTTCATAGTAATAGTCAGTAACTGTTTTGCAACTGTTGTTCTTTAATTCTTCTATTTATCTTGTACTCTCTGAAGGAAATATGTGTGGTACGTATTTCAAGTGTTTGGAAATAGTGAAAGAGCAAAGCACGCTAAACTGAAGTCTGCCTTTTTAACTTTGATTCTTCTGTGCCAAGCCTGTACATTCAGGTACAATGTCACTGAAAACTACACTGAAGCTCAGATTCACCCAGTGTGGGCTCTGGATGATACCCACTTAATGATTATTTAATCACAGAAGCCCAAAGGGGGAGAGACCATCTGGATTATTGAGTTCAGTCCTTTTGATTATCTGAGAAGATTGTTTTATAATCTCATTAATAAATTTAATCAACAAGTTTCTTCTGCCCTGCAGAAATTTCTATGTTCTCCACTCCTAGCAGGAGGTTGAAAACTGTTTCTTTTTAGTGGCTGCTTGTGTGGGCTGAAGCACTGTTTACTGTATGTATTCCATGACCTGCTGTAAAGACAAATTATTATTTCTTGTTCTTAATCTGTTTTCCACGGTGGTTGTTGCTGTAGAAGTTAAAAGATATTGAAGCACTTAACTGCTGTAAGGAGTAGTGATGGCCTTCGTAATGAGACCTTCAATATAGATCATGTCCTTTGGGGTTCTTGAACCCGCGCTTAGATAGAAGGTCTCATTTAATGGATAAGTAAGTGTATCAACTGACATGAAACCCACCTGTGAGGAGCTGGCCTATAAAGCACTTTAGCATTGCTGTGCATGGCCAGTTTGAGTTGTGGGAAGCTCCTGAAGTAGAATAAAAGCTGGAACCATGTGAGAACTTCACTAAAAGTGATAAGTTTATGCCATCTCTAGAAAATTTAAGCATAGTCTCTGGCAAAATGAAGGGGCTTTGTATGCTGTGGAGTGTCATGGGGAAGCTTTTAGGGAA